AGCCCAAATGCCCCACCAAATTCTAGTACCAACCCATCACAATCTCAGCCTAACTCCACCAATACCTCACCAATTATCTATAAAAACAACTCATCCACCCTAACTACCCAAACCGACACACCTTTCCCCGGTTTGATTATGACTTGGACCAACCTCGTAGCATTGCACCAATGCCCATCGCCGAACCTCAAAGGATACATCCCATGGTCCTCCGCAACATGGGCCGTAAGCCTTCATTAACGGCTTTGTTAATCGTGAGTGGTAAACGAGTTCTCGAAGCTCCTACTTGTTACTCCGAGGCTAAACAATTTAGACAATGGAGAATTACAATGAAAAATGAGTTCAATGCACTATTAAAAACCTACACTTGGTCCTTAGTGTCGTCAAATCCATCCATGAACATCATTGGCAACAAATGGGTGTTCAAGACTAAGAAACATGTAAATGGTAGTCTTGAAAGATATAAAGCTAGGTTAGTAGCTAAAAGGATACCATCGGCAGGAAGGGGTGGACTTTGATGAAACATTTAGTTCGGTGGTCAAGCCCACTACCATTCGAATATTCCTCGGTCTGGCGAGTTTCACGAGGGTGGCCCATCGGACAATTAGACATCCATAATGCTTTTCTAAATGGTAAGCTTCATGAATCAATTTTTATGGCCCGGCCAGTGGGCTTTATTGACTCTCGAAACCAAATTATGTTTGTAAGCTACACAAATCTCTCTATGGGCTCAAACAGGTCACCAAGGGCATGGTTTTCCTGTCTCTATGATTTTTTAATATCTTTTGGTTTTGTGGGTTCCAAAACAGATTCTTCCTTGTTTATATATCGGATGCAGGATTAGAGAGCTTTTCTCATAGTCTATGTTGATGATATCCTAATCACTACAAACAACACCAAGTTCCTCCAATCGATCATCCATGCCCTTAATACTCGGTTTGCGATCCGTGACCTAGGAGATATCAACTTTTTCTTAGGAATAGAAGTGGTACGAACCAAGCAAGGACTTGTTTTCTCTCAACAAAAATACATCCATGATCTCCTTTCTAAACAAGGTATGCTAAATTGCGGACCTATCTCCACTCCTATGCCGACCACAACTAAGCTACGGAAAGATGACGGTTTAGTCTTTGATAATCCGACTTTGTATAGATAAGTAGTAGGTGCACTTTAGTATGCCACCTTGACTAGGCCGAGATTGCTTTTTCGGTTAACAAAGTCCATCGGTTTATGTACAACCCACAAGTAACTCATTGGATTCTTCGTTAAATGGATTCTACGCTACCTAAAGCATACCATAGATCATGGTTTACATATCAAACATTCAGCCTCTCAATTACTTATAGGGTTTTCGGATTCGGATTGGGCTGGTTCACTTGATGACGGGAAATCCACCGATGGATATGCAGTATTCCTTGGGTCGAACCTCATTAGTTGAAAGTCCAACAAGTAGAAAATAGTGACACGTAGCTCTACGAGAGGCGAATATAAGGCGATAGCCGACTTGGCGCGAGAACTCACTCGGATTACCTCTTTATTAGGAGAGTTGAGGCTGCCGTCCAACAACTAAACCTATTATATGATGTGATAACATTGAAGCTACATACTTAGCGAGTCAATCCGGTATTCCATGCACGTATAAAACATGTGGAAATAGACTTCTACTTTGTCGGAGATATGGTAGCTAGGGGAGTCTACGAGTCAAGTTTATCTCCATACAAGATCGAGTTGTCGACATATTAACCAAACCATTGTCCACAAACGAGTTTGCATTTTTGAGGAAAAAGCTGACGAGTTGGTAGTCGAGAACTATTAGTTTACGAGGGAGTGTTAAGACAATTCATTCGAGTAGCATGAGCTTGTTAAGGACTCGCAACGAGTGTCACGGCTTCCATCGATCTAGAATCGGACTTCACATATTCCACGACTTCCACGAGTAGCAGTAGATTCCATATATTCCATGGCTTCCACAAGCAGCAACAAACTCCTCTTCACACATATCTTCTCCTAATGTGACCTACTAGGAAGATAAGACAAGAATTGTAAATAGATAAGAACTCTTGTATAGTTGTATTCTTATCTCTTTTAAACATATATAAGGATCATGCCAACTCCTAATAATAAATATATGAATTAATGAGATTTTATTCTACCTCTCGTCAGCCTTTATTCTATTGTACCTTTGTCGGCCTCTCTCTCTCTCTCACGTTCTAAGTGGGCATATATCTACAAAGTTGGTAAGATTTGGGCATTTTGGAACCGAGAACCAAAGAAGTTGCGGTGACTCCTTTTAGAATCTCTCCCTCACGAAAGATATCTTGTATCACAAGCACTACATCATTTTTGATAGTGTTCTAGCATGCTTTGAAAAAAGATCCGGTAAAACCATATGGACTAGGAGCACCGAGCTCATTAAGTTCAAAAATTACCTCTCGGATTTCTTTCTCCTGTCGTATACTCATAAGGGATTCATTCGAGCATCGGTTACCATGGAAGGTAGGATGTTACCATGAAAGTCTTCATCCATCATGGTCGTGTCACTCTTAAAGATATTCGAAAGTAATCAATAAGCTGCACTACCTATCCGGTCTTCATCTTTACAAATTGAACCATCATTCGGTGTTAGAGAAAGATAGGATTTGAGCCTTCAATTTCGCACACAAGCATGAAAGAAGGTAAAGTTATGGTCACCTATTTATAGGCATTTCACTCTTGATTTTTCTTACGGTAGTTGTTCCTCTTTTTCTATTAATGATGTTAGTTTGTCTTTAGTCGCCGAGCCTTATCGAGTTTTTCTTGACTCCAAGAGTTTTATAAGTCTCGCTTCTATTTGAATAAGCTTATCAAAAGCATCGTTTACCTTCGTTTAATATCCTAAAAAACTATCCGGTTCCACGCCTTTAGTTCATGTCTAAGATGCTTGAGTTTTAAGTGCGGATTTAGAAACGAACTATTGCTAAAGGATGACTTCCGATGATTGCTCACAAAGGATTAGAAACTATCATAAGCTATCTATATTTTCATAATAAAAAACCTAACGGTGTCCCGGGTTATCTATAACCGAGTGAAAGTAATGGATAGTGGTTCGAATGTATACGGGCTAGGAGTGTGCAAGATAGCCTAGGAATGAGGGCAATTGTTGCGGCATTTACTAGTACACTCGTCTAGTCTTTTCTAGACATGAGAAGAACCCTCTTGATTATTGCACCATGTGTATTTACTTCACGAGTATCCAACATCCCGAACCCCAAGTAAGTCGATATTAGTGTTGAAATCAAACATTGAACACGGAACTATTTGTGATTATGCACCTTTTGCCTTTTCGGTTGAGTTTGCTATCGCGTTGAAGTCACCTCCTAATATCCATGGGAGACTCGATATTGAGAGCCGGCAAGTAGCCATAGAGATTCCTTCTTTTCGCCCTATCACGACTTGCGTAAATAGCGAGTATAGTATATGATTTTTGTAGAAAGCATATCCCTTACTATAATTATAATAGATTGGAAACATATAGCCTGGATATTCACCTCTAAGCTATCCTTCCATAGGATCCAAATATGCTTCGGTTAACCGGGTTACCATGAAGAAAACTAGACAAATTGAGAGCCTTCGCTAGTTTAGCCACTTTCTCTCCTGATTGCTTAGGCTCTAAGAGAACAAGAAGAGATATCCGATGGTGAGCAACCAAATGTTTCAAATATCTCATTTTATCTCGAGCATAAATGCCTCTAATATTCCAAATGAGACTAATCATTAGGTAGAGCAAAAAAAAGCTTGCCATTATGGTCTCGCTCGGACTTTGTTACACGTTTGCTATTAAGTTACACCAAAACAACTTTTTTTTTTTGGATAACATTTTCCCCTAGAACTCCATAGCTTGTATTCGGTCTTGGAAGGCCGATGATACCCACTGTTGCTTCTTCACAGCTCCTTTTGAAACCACATTAGGAGATACATCGGTATCCAATTAAGAGGTTAACATCCTATCACCCTAAACCTCGTGATCTATGGAACTAAATGAATTTGCAATTGTCATTCTCCGAGCTATAACTAAGGTGAGAGGAGAGATAGTTATCTCGTTCGATGAGTTAGGCTGTATGTTGGTGAAGATGACCAGGTGTAGTATGCTCAATGACACTTATATTCTTAGGAATGTTTGAACAAGAGGCACATAGGAAGCCTCGAAATTACTAACACATAACCCGATCCTAAAGCAACCTCTCGCATTCATACCTTTTGTGCTGATAGTGTGATCTATAATATTAATAGTTATTGTATAACCCACTTCACTAGTTAAATTGGAGTTTAGCTCCCCGATCACGTCCGTATTTGAAGCCACAGGTAGAGTATCTACAACCATTTATAAGGAATCCCCTAAACTTCTCCCATTCATAATCCATGATAAGGAATAAGTATGGCCATGAGGAAGGAAATCTATATCTTTTTGCATGGTACTATAGCTCCCAGTGACGTTAATACTATAATATCAACAGTTCTAATAGTTCCAAACCGGTCCTTCGCATACATGCCATCTAACTTGAGTGTGGGGCTCATAAACTTTATGCACATTGAATTATCCTCATCAACCAATACGTGAGAATCTTGCTTCAAATTTCCATCTGCATGTGATATCAACTTTTGATGCACGACACTCGTACTCCCTATTAGTCTTAGAAATTGTACTCACTTCCTTAACCTATGATCCATAACCGATAGATTCTTTTGAAATAATAGAAATTGTACGAGTAGCATAGTCGAATAGCTATGTAGAATAGGGTAGCTTCTAGTGCTATCTTTATGAAGAGCCATGGAATTGATATTGGTTGTAACATGTCCACTTACATTAAAAGCTTGATCATCCACTTTTCTTTGTATGGAACTATATTCCTCAGTCGAAATGGATAATAGCTTCTCTTGAGATAACTTTTGAATCCCCGCACATCTCTCGTTCTTGTTATCGATAATAGTGGGATGAAAATTTGAACATACTTAAGACTTATCTAGTCCCTTACCCCTCTTTTCGAACCCGAAACATGGTCCGGCTTAGAGGAATACGGTATGGAAAGAGATTTAAGAACTCCTTTATCTTTAGCAATGAAGCCGGATGGGATTACCCTATTTGAGAGTTGACAATCTTCATTGTCTTTGAATTTTGTTGTGCTCTCGGAAGAATGTTGTCGTATGCCCTTCTTATTAACACTACCGGAAAAAAATCAATTAGCGACGAAATTTAACGTTGGATTTTAATCCGTCGCTATTTAGCGACAAATTAGTGATGGACTATAAAAGGTTATGTTTTATGATGGATTAGTGATGGACTAACGATAGATGATTAGCGACGATGAAAAATTCGTTGCTAAATAAGACGAAGAAAAAAGCACCAAAATCGGCGACGGATTACGACGACTTTGTGGTTGCTAAATGGAAAAAATTTCGTCGCTAAAATTCTTGAAATTTAGTGAAGTTAGCAATATATTTTGGAATCCATCGCTAAAATTAACGTCCGTCGCTAGTTTTTTCCTTTTTTGAGGGAAATTCCCCCAAAATGGCCCAAAGTTAACGACTAATTTCAAAATCTATCACTAATTTATGGCTTTTTTGGGGGGAATTCCACCAAAATGGCCCAACGTTAACGACGGACATCGAGTCCATCGCTAAGGGTTGAGATTTTAAGGGGAAATTTCCCCTTAAAATCCTAATCGAGTAGCGATGGATGCCAAGTCCGTCGCTACCTCATTGACGTTCGTCGACGTCCGTCGACGTCCGTCGCTAAACTTCGAGAATTTAGGGGAAATTTCCCCCAAATTAGCAACGGACCTATAATCCGTCACTAATTAGTGATAGATTAGCGATGGACTTGTATCCGTTGCTAATCGGTGATGGATGAGCGACGGAATTGGATCCGTTGTTATTTTTCCTTTATATATGCCCCTTCTTCTTCTTCTTCTCCATTTGCTTCCCTCAGCTCCACCACGACTCCCCTTTTTTTCCGCCCACAAAAACACCCACCCACGTCGCTCCACACCACTAAATCTTTATCAAAACCATTCACCAAAGTGATGGGTATCTTTCTTTCTCAAAATCATATCGGATCTATGTTCTCTATCCTTGATCTATCGGATAAAAATTTCTCTCTAACTCTTTTTTTATAATTAGATAAATATTACAAATTTTTAGTTAAATTTTGTTATTTGTTAGTTTATTAATTATTTGAATGTTGTTAATTATCCGATTATGTTAATTTTTTGTTATGTTAAGTTGTATGTAGTAGTTTAAATTTGTTAGTTGTTATTTTATTTTTATAAGCTGTTAGATTAATTTTGTTAAGTTTTATTTTGTTGTTATATTAATTGTTAGGTTAATTTGCATGTTAACGTAAACCTTAAAAATTTAAATTTGTTAATTTTTAGTTGTTAGATTAAAATTTAATTATTTAATCTTAAATTGTTATTTTAATTAAGCGAATTAATTATATATTTATTTATTTTTAGTGTTAGGTTAAATTGGTTAGTTGTTTGTTTAAACTTAATTTTGAAATTATAAATTTTTTGCTGTAGTTTAGTTAAATTTGGTTGAAATTATATAATTTTTGATGTAGTTTTGTTATTTCGAATGTAAATTTTATAAGTAATTTTATTAGTTTAATTATTAAAATTGAAATAAGATAACATGCATAATAATTTGATCGTTCCTTCCACTCGACCTCTAATTCAGCCTCTAGTCGATCCTCTAGTCGAGCCCTTTACACGAGTATGAGGATAAGTATATGGGATTAGATGAATAAGATGAGTGATATAATATTTAGTCATTTTGTTTGTTTTGTTATTTTTTTATGGAACATATTCTAGAATGATTTTGTTAATATTATTTTATTTTTCATATATACAAGATTACTTATAATTGTATATTATTAAATATTAATTATTAAATTTCATATTAATAATTTAATTTCAAAAAATGTATAAAAGCAACAAAATTGCGGAAAAATCATTTTCAAAATTAGTGACGGAATAGCAACGGACTAGCGATGGATTTATTTTCAAAATTAGCAATGGAATAGTGACAAATTAGCTACGAACAAAATGATCAATCCGACGATAAGATTAGCGACGGATTTTTTGGTTTAGCGATGGATTTTTCATCGCTAAATATTACGATGGAATGAGTATTCCGTCATAAAAAATTAGTGACAAACGAAATAATGATGAAATATTTTTCGTCGCTATTCACGAATAGTGACAGAATCGGGGTGTTTAGCGACGGAATATTCTGTCACTAAAGTCTATTTTTTTGTAGTGTAATAGTGTGTCATACTTTCTCCACCCTCGACTGGACGAGACTACCTTGCATGAGTAATATGGTGTATCTATGGAATTGACCGTTGCTTGTTCTTAGGAAGCTTGCGATAATTGTGTATTAAATGGTTTTGTAATCTACGATTCGATAAAAAGCAACATTGGACTCCACTAATATAGGTTGCCGAAGCCTTTTTTTCTATCGGTACCAACCGATATCCATATTTTGGGAGGGATAAGAGTTGTCGAGTCAACTTCAACACACGATCAAGCATGCATCGGGTGAGAACCATATCTTGTTCTTTAAACTGGACGTCGGAGATGTCCGAAAGGTCTTACGGTTTCTTGTAACAAAGCGACGAGGAAAGAAGGAGATGGGCGAGCCGCCACCATTGGAGACTCGGCTTTTGTGTTGAAGAATGAATCCCATTTGAATAAATGAAATGGACGAGTTACCAATAAGATGAGCAACCCGAGTCCAAGCCTTGATAAAATCTCCTTTCTAACATAAATGAATGAACATATGAGAGGATCAATGAGTCCAATCACGGGAGTTCCGATTAACCCCCGTATTGCTTGAACATGCTCATAAATGTTGTTGATCGGGGGACGTCCCTTAGAGAATTTTGTCACTAAGGAGAATTGGAATTTTTTTTCAGATTGTTGCAACTCTGCATCCGAAAAAACCATGCTGGTTCTCCTTCAAAAAATGAAGGGGACTTGGGATTAATGTCAATGGTAGGAAAGCGAGTGTTGAGATTCAGCTTGACGAGTGGTAACGGATGCATCAAGAATTGAAGATGGTTTAGTATGGTTTGAGAGGGATAGAGTAGAGGGTTTAGAGGTGATAACCTTTGCATAGGTTAAAATAGGGTTTATGTGAGGGGTTTGTGTAACGCTGTTTTTGGTCACTCCCTTTAAAAGAGCGACCTTAAAGGGTCGAGTAAGAGAGTCGATGTGGGGCTGTGTGAGACTGTTTGTGGCATCTCCCAGTGGAGGGTCAACCTCAAATGGTTAAGAAAGAGAGGCGAGAGATAGGATAAGAAGAGAGATAGAGGTAGGGGAAAAGGTAGGAGGAGTCTCCCCTATGGGGGATCTCGAGGTGGTAGATCTACCGTCGACTATTGGAGTTCATGGCTGACACGGGATTAGGGTTTTCTCATAAATGGTGAAATATTTGTTGACATATGTTAAAAAAAAGGCATAGAAAAAGGGTGCAGCACGAGGACTTCCCAAAAGGTAACCCATCTTAGTGCCAAGCACGTTTAACTTTGGAGCTACGATGGGATCCGATGCATTAGTGCTTGGTATAATCACACCTAACAATTTATCAATTAGCTATTAGTTTTTTTTTTAATGTTTTTATTTTTTCATATGATTTGCTTACATTCAATTAAGTTAGTTGGTTAAGGTTGAGTCTTAACGCTTGTGTTAAGCCAAACTTTTTTGTCTACATTTTTCGATCTCCATTTTACTTTATGTCTAAGTCTTAAAAGTTAGCGGCTCGATATTTATATTTTCCTCCTTATTAATAATTTATATTGATTTATTATATATTAAAAACTTTATGAACTTATCGTAAGAAGGCATAAGTATAAAACTTAATTATACAAAGAAGTATTTTCAAATAATAGACTTTTTAATCGAGCAAATCATTTTTTAGCATTTATTTGAAATTTAAAAAAAATTCTGTTTTTTAATTAAAACTTAAAATAATTTCCTTATAATTGTAATATTAGATCACAGAGTTAACAATATATGTTAGCTTTATTGACATATGGGTTTCAAATTTCAGAGTTAGCATCTAAAAAAATTTATCAAACTTTTCCAAATACACTTGATTAATGTACGTATTGTATACTTAAGGTGGCTCTAGGATGGAATTTTGTCTCAGTTGACATGCAAGCTAGTTTGAGGTAACCTTTACTATTTAATAAAAAAAGAAAAATATATATTTCATAGCATTAAAGTCTCATTATAAATATTCTATAAATGACAATAAAAGAAGGAATAAAAATCACAATAAATACAAAAGTAATCTAATCAAAAGATATTTTAACCAAAATGGGCAAATTGATCATTTTGTTCCCATATAATACCTATAGTCTCCCATTGATTACATACCGTGATGCCCAAAAAAAAAAAAAAAAAAAACAAAAAAAAAACAACAACAAGAAAAAATTGCATGCCATGGCATTAAAGCCTATTATCAACATTCTATAAATGAGAATAAGAAAATGGAATAAAAATCTCTAGAAATACAAAGTAATCACATCAAAAGATATTTTAAGCAAAATTGGTAAATAGATTAATTTATTCTCATATAATACCTATAGCCTCCCATCTATCCCTAACTTTTTTAAAATTTTCAACATGTCCTTCGACAAATTTTTATAATCATAGGATTATTTTGATCAAAATCACCCCGATTTAAATGCCAAAAAGAAAAAAAAATTCTCAAAAAGGGAGCAAGCATGTGATGTAACTTTAAGTGTTTTTTTTTTTTTTTTTTTTTTTCACATGTCAATAAAAGGCATTTTGGTCAAAAACAATTTGCCCATGGTAGGAAACTTTAATCGAAAGGATAAATTAAAAATTTTAAAATTTTTTCGGAACATACAAGATGCAATCGAAATTTAAGGATAAATGAAAGACTTTGGATATTATATAAAGACATGTAAATCTATTTACCTTCAAAGAAAATAAAAAAAGGAATAAAAATCTCCATAAATTAAAAGCAATCATACCAAAAGATATTTTAACTAATAATGTCCAAATCATTAGTTTTCTTTTCTACAAATATAGGTAAAATGCAGTTTATTCAGAAAAAAAAAATTGTTGTCAAATTCAACATAAAAGATATGGAGAAAGTTTCTTTGAAGATGAGCTTCTTGGCTACTATTT